GCGGCGCTGGAGCGTTTGGAGGGCCGCGGCAGCGAGACCTGGCGGGGCTGCCTGCAGCGCATGGCGCGGGGCTTGGGCCCGCGGGGGCTCGGGGGCTCGGGGGCGCGGGGGCGCGGGGGAGGTCCAAGGCGTTCTTTTTGTTTTTGTTTTTTTCTGGTACAAGGTGGGGGGGGTGAGGGTGTTGTTTTTTGTTAAAGGTGGGTGGGGGGTTGGTGGGGGCCTCTTGGTGGGTAGGTTTTGTTTTAGGTCGGTTGGGGGTAGTTTCCACACCACTAGTTTGACTAGCAACTGTTTTTTTTTGGAGTGGGTTAAAGCGAAACATTTGAATAGTTCCGGGTCCGCAAAAACTAAAAAAAAACCGACTTTTAGCCGGGGATCGAAGGGGAGCAGTCCAGTTTTTGGAGAAGTGAGGGTCTCCCAAAACGCCCTGCCGGTGATTCTGCTGAGGTTCTTTTAGCTTTTGAGGGCAGAAGAAAAACCGATAAATCCACTTTTTGTGGGGTCCAACTTTTTGGTTTGAGACACATCCTGGAATCTTTAAGTTTGAACTTTGGAGTCACTAGCAGCTTCGATGGACGTGACTTACTCTGCCCGGAGGGTTTCCCTCTATTTCCGCACCAGTGGAGTCAGGCTTGAATCTTTTTTCTTGCATTTTAGTCAAGGTTCCATTTTCCGACAGATAGTGGACTCACTCATATTTCCGACAAACACTGGTTGACTCACTCCTTTTATCCCTGTTCTTTGTGAACCGCAGATAGGCCCAAAGTGTGGAAACTCTTGGCCAGTTCCAGGTTAGCGGGTCAGTTCCAGGTTTGAAATGATGTAAAACCCTAGTTGCAAGTGTGAACCCAAGTAGTTGGAACATGGGAATGATCCCTCTGCCCCCCCCCCCCCCAAAAAAAAAAAAAAACAGAGTGAAATCCACCCGAGTGTTGCGTTTGATAAGTGGAACACGGGGACATATTCCGTCTTTTTGAAATGCAGAGGACATGGGCGATCACGAACATCTCCATCGGGGTGTAAGGGGGGGATCATGGACCTCTCAACAGGGAATGTAGACAACGATTCCAAAATCCTTATGCAGAGCACGTGGGACGGAGCCTTTGATTTACTTTCCATTGGCAGGAACCCAGCCTTACTGAAGCCTGAGGCTTAGTAAGCCTTGTTGAGCAGGGTTGTGGGATCAAGGGGTGTATCCCCACTTTGTGATACAAGGGAACCGCCTTTTTGTATATCACGGAAGTGGTCATTTCCCACAGCCCTGTCGTTGAGCCTTACCGCAATCCTTGCCAGGGACGCCTCTATGATTTCATTGTTTTTGTCCAGCCCACGTGCCGCCGATCGCGCTGTAGGCTACCATGGAGGAGAAAGTGGTGCTGCAGACGGCGCCTTTGTCTGATAGCGGTGCCTTTGGATGCGACCTTTTGGGTTCCTTTACAAGGCTTCACTGTTAAACCAACCCCAAGGGTATCAGGGTCTGGCTCAAAAATAGGGGTCAGTGGAACCCTGGGAAATGGAAAGGTAGACTAAAACCTCCGGTTTGCCCCATGGTCAATTTTGAGCTACACCAATCAAAGCCCACCATGGGTCGACAAACTAGCAAGGGCAGATTGCCAAGCAAAGGACATAGTCTGAAACCATGCCCCTGCAAATGGAGCCTCTGGAATTTGGGCACAACACCCAAACTCAAGAGGCCCGGTTTCACGCGGGGGTTGACACACGGGCGAGTTTGACTCCGAAGAATGTTTCGTGGGCGGCGGATCGCGTGAATTTGGGCAGAGTTTCCTCCATTTCCCTGTCCCATAGTGGCAGTTTCAATGGAAACCACCAGCAAATTGATCAAGTTTTCAAGGGGGGCATCCAGTGACCCCTGTTGGGGCAACACCTTCAAACTTCGCTGTAACCAGACCTCGTTTTCGTTTCCCGGGACCGGGTTGGTTGAAACGCGTTTCAAGGCAACGGCGTTTTATCCGCCCTCCCACATTAGTCACGTCCCACATTAGCCACGTGGTACCTAGAAAGGGTACTTAAAGGGGCAGGGTATCTAGTAAGTGGTTAGTAACCGTGGTTATAACCCACTTACCATGGTTATGAGTCTCCTAAGTGGGTTGTAACCATAGTTAGTAACCACTTACTAGATACCCGATCGCCCCTTTAAGTACTCGATGGTAGGAAAGCGAAAGGACGCCGCTCCGCCCATGTTCGGGGGTAGTTGGTTCGATCTAGGACGTGGTGCGCATTGTGGACCGCGTGCTCGGCGAGGCGCGTTTCTCGAAGCTTCTTCGAGGGTGCGCGCAGGGCCGCAGCCCCTGGCAAAAGGCGGTCTCCAACAAGAGAGATAGAGAGAGATACAGGAGACATTTTTAACTCTGGACTTGGCTCGACGGAATCCTGAGATATGTAAAATCAGATCTCTCACTCCAGAGGGCTTGAGTTCGGTTTTGCATCGTTTCTATAAATATATATTATATATTATATATATATATAAACATATATACATAGACACATATATATATATATATATATATATACACACGTATACATGGCATGTGTGTGTGTGTGTGTTCTTTTAAGCATATTGCAATGAAAGCCCTTGACATCTTCGATTTGCCTAGGCGAAGCCGGCTTCGGTTTTTCACCCCACGCGCACCAATGCGCTTTCCGATTTTTCGGGAGGTCCGGAAGGCGGGGCCGGAGCTCTTTGGCGCAGGGGCACGAGCCTCGGGCCCGTCGCGGATGCGTCGCGGAGACGACCCGATGCGGAGGCCCGTCGCGGATGCGTCGCGGAGACGACCCGATGCGGAGGTTCATGGCCCTTTTTCCCGAAAAAAGCCCCCCCCCAGAAAAAAAAAGGGGGAGAAAGGGGGGCGGGGGAGATGGACACTTGTGACACTTGAGGTCTATTTGGAAAAGGAAGCTCCTTTCAACAGTCCATCCTAAAGGGAAACTCTCCAAGACGCTCAAAGTTTTTTTTGTTTTTGGAGGGGGGGGGCAAGCAAACTCAAGGAACCAGACCCCCTCAGGGACAGACACCCGAATACAGTGGGGCACTGAGGCCGTGACGGGGCCCGCAGCGCTGAACGAGATGCGTAGCCGCCTGAGGGGAGCTTGTGGAAGGTTTTTGATTTATTTGATGGCAGCTCACGGGGTAAATCGAGCTCAGCATGCAGGTCGTTTGGAGACAAAGCCACCGAATGAACCCGTGTTTCAGGCAAGGAGATGCGCCGGCTGGAGGCCAAGGCGCGCAGATGCTCTGTGAGGGAGGTGGGAGGCAAGTAGTTTTACTGGAGTGAAGCAAAGAATGCACAGGGGGGGGGGGGGGGGGGGCGATCGTCCAAACAAGTGAGTGGGGAAAAAAAAAAGAGTGAAACAAGCTGATTCAAGTATCGTGCAATTTACATTGTGGATAAGTTGATGTTGCTGTTGGTTTGCGTGCCTTTTTTTCCTTCTTACATCTACCTTTTCCATGACTGAGCCAACTTGCAACTTTGGGAAATATGTTGGGTGTTGTGCCCCCAAATCATGGCACGTGCGGGATGGTCGCTTTGAACAGCAGCGGAGGGTCCCAGGATGGTTGTTTGAATATTGAATAGAACATTATCACATTTTTGTTTGTGGATTCATGTTTGTTTGCTTGTTTCATTTCAGTTGTCTTGTTGGAATCGGAAGGGAGGTAATTGGGCAGAACCCTGATCAGGCTGTACTTGGTGCTCCTTGTCAAACTTGCAAGTGGTTGGCAGCCTAGATGATACATATACGCATATGTGAGAATCCGCAACAATGACCAGCTGGGGAATTTTTTGGACCACTTATCTAGCTGCAAAGGAGGGTTTGCGGCTCGGTCCCACCGTGGTATTTGGCCAAGAAGCTTGGTCGCTGGATTCCCTCGCCCTCTTGGCTCGGAAAGTGGCTCAGTGGTTGCAAGGAGTTTTGTGGCTTCGCTTTGATGGGTGGATTTTGGAATCGGCCCGTTTTTCTAACGGTTGATTCCGCATTATCTTCACCTATCCTTCTGCTCAGAAACCATGAATCCTCCCTCCCTTGGTTTTGAAATGCAATTTTCTGAGAAGGACTCCTTGTTAATTTCGACCAGCCTCACGCTAGATTTTCGAGGAAAGCTGCCCTTTCAAGTCAATTCCCACCAAAAACAGACTGGACCCTCTTCTCCTTTTCTCCCAAAGAAAGAGATTCCGTCATGAAGCCCTCTCCACCTTTTTGGGTGTGGCCCCGTTTTTTTTTGTTAACGGAGACTCAGGAGACGTGTCTGGGGGGGATCCGCGCTCCGCGCGCTCCGCGCGCTCCGCGCGCGGCCTGGTGCTCCATCAGGTGGCGGGGCTGGAGGCGCGGGTGCTGGGCATCGCTGAGGACTCCACCGCCGAGGCGGACGGGGAGGATGGGGAGCATGGGGGGGCCGGGGGGGAGGGGGCGGTGGGAGGAGGGGAGGATGGGAGGGGGAGGGGGAGGAGGAGGGGGAGGATCCTGAGTTTAGTCTGATTGGGTGTAGCAAAATTGGAACAGCCGGGGTACATTTCTTTTGAGCCACAGCCTTGGGGTGAAGGTTGCCCGGTCATCGAGGGCAACGTCAGGATCCTTCATTTAACCTTATTGGGTGGCTGAAAATTGGAACAGCGGGGGGAAACTGCAGGTTTTTGTCTTTTCCAGATACCAAGGTGCCATTTTGGGTAGTCTTTTGAGCCACAGCCTTAGTCACATCCTCAACACCGATTCGGGTAGGGCTTCTGCAATCCAATCTTTTTGGCCACTGGGCGCGGATTTCTGTCCGCCTTTTCAACTCTTGAAGCACTGGTTCTGGGTGAACCATTGTAATACCGGGTTTTTGATGATGACTCCAGGTAACCCTTAGTTGGTTTGGATTGGTGGTGGGATTTGGACCCTGGTTCTTGGGTTTTTGTACCATTTTTTTTTCTTCTGGCTCTTGTAAAGAACTCCCCGAAGCTCAGAGCACTTTGGTCTTTGGGGTGTTTTGGGGGACCCACACACAGAAACTCCCAAAGGGTGTGTTCGGGGGGGCTGTGTTTGGGGGTCCCTTCAGGGGGCTGTGACAAACAGGTCTGTCGGATTACCCTGATTACCCAAAGAAGTGGCGCCGGTTTCCTTTGGTTTCCCTTGAAAACCAAAGAAGGGCACCCCACAAAAACAGACACACCCAAATTGGGGTTCCATTGTGGTACACCAAGACTTTCCACAGTTCTGTGAGTTGTGACTCTATTGGGCTTGGTTTGGAAGTTAGGTTGCCAACATAGGGGTTTGGACTCCCAAGTTGTGGTTTCCTTTTGGATGTTTCGCCAAGCAAGCCTCACAAAAAAACAAGACACCCGAGTATGGCAACATGGGTGCGGACCAGGACTTGGATATTTAATTTTCCACATGTTTCAACTTTCAACACCCCAAGTTGACAAGGGTTGGAGGCCAAGGCTTCCCAATCTGGAAAGCTGCTAGGGCCGGATCTGGCGTGCTTCGATCTGCGCCAAGGCCGGTTTTGTGGTTTTGGTGCTTGGGGCGGCTTGGCTTGGGGTTGGTGTTAAGCTGGCCCTTGCCTTTTGTCGATGTTTGGTAAACAGATGATCGCACTTTCAGATTGATTCCAAGAATTTGCTGGTGCCATCTTAGTTTTCAAAGGGAGGGAGGACAGATGCATGGAGGCAGAACTTTTTTTTTTTTAATCACACCAGCCCCATTACCATTGATTTCGAAATTCCTCATTCATTTTGTTTTAATCCCAATTTTGAAATCCCACCGTTTTTTGTTTTTGTTTTGTTTTGTTTGTTAAATCCCACCGCCGGCTCCAGTGCTTTGCTTTTTGGAATCACATATTTTGATTTCACGCTTGGGGGGTTTCGGTGGTTTTTCTGTTGAGTTCACGCCTTTGGGCCTCAATTAAAAGAAAAAACAAAACACGCACACACGGGCCCAGGCGTGAATTCAAAAGACCACGGAGCCCCAAGGCGTGATTTCAATAAAACAAACACCGTGACCCCCCCCCCCCCAGGCGTGATTTCAAAGAAAACACACTGGGACCCCCCAGGCGGGATTTCAAAATATGCGCTTCAAACAGAAAGCACCGGAGCCGCATGGAAGCGATCGTGTTCCCTAAGAACATACGCTTTTCAGATCAACCACATCAACATGCACCGCTGCTTTTGAGACATGGCGGTTGGGATGAGCTTGGCGGCCTTGTGTAACTTGACGGCATGCGAAATGTACCAGGAGTCAACCTGGATTTTCATGGGCCAAGCAGGAACTTAATTCCGCAGCTTCTATCAACCAGAGGTTCCTTCATCCCGGGGTCTCCTTTGACCAAAAGCCAACACGTCACTGATATGATTCAAGGGACATATTGGGCCAGAAGCCAAGCTCCCAATCTTGTCTGTTGCTCATCTGAGCCACGCCCTCAAAACCCAGGTAGACAATCCCAACCAAAAATAGCTGCGGTTATCCGCCTTCTCATTTCTTGAAGCATGGTTCTGGGATTACGACCATTTTAATGTCGGGTTTTGATGTTGACTCATTTGGCCCGCCAGAGAGCCGTGATTCCCAACCGACTCGCGCGCTGAGCCCTTCCTCGCAGGATTGCTGCACGAGATGTTGGGAAAGTGGCACTGATCCGCCGGCCATATGATGTTTAAAGGTTCTGGACATAGCGAACCTAACACGTGGCTGATTCCCCTTTGGTTTTCCTGCTGTAACCCCCTAAAAGGCCGACTCAACCAAATGGCGCGACATCCACGTTTGCTTGGGGCATGGCTCCATTGGGTTTTCCAACGGTTGCCGTTCTTCCACCGTTTCAACTGACAAGGCGGCGTTTCGCCTTCGCAGCCCCCCGTGTTTCGAGGTTGAGACGCTGGAGAGAGCCGTGCAGGCGGGTTGGGTGGGCGCTTGGGCGGGGTCGGGGGTTGGGTTGGGGGTTGGGGGTCGGGGGTTGGGGTTGGGTTGGGTTGGGGGTTGGGTTTTGGTGGGTTGGGTGTCGGGTTTGGGTTGAATCGAAATGAGTCGGAACCCGGTGACCCCGTGCCTCTGACACAGTCCAGGGAAAGGGGTCTCAACCACTGGAGTTCGGGTCCTCATTTTCTGAAGGGAATCGAACGGCAGCTTGCGAACGGCAACTCTGAAGGGACTCTTTGACTTCTTTGGAGTTGAGTGTGTTTCTCTCAGGAACCACCAGGTTTGCATCTGCATCCGACTGCAAGCAATTGCAACCTACGCTCCACGTCGAGATTCTTTCCCTTTCCGCGTAAGCGGGGGGTTCGAACTGCTTCGTTTTCAGCTTTCACCCGGTTGAAACCCATCTATCTATCTATCGATCTATCTATCTATCTATCTAATCTAATCTAATCTAGTCTATCTAATCTATCTAATCTATCTAATCTATCTAATCTATCTAATCTATCTAATCTATCTAATCTATCTAATCTATCTAATCTATCTAATCTATCTAATCTATCTAATCTATCTAATCTATCTAATCTATCTAATCT